TGAATGGATACTAGATAATCTGTCCAGGAAAAAGGTAATGAACAGGTTATTTCAGAGAGCATATAGTGAACAAATTATCAACCTCCAAATGATGCTCTGTTCTTAACACTCCATAAATAAGATGAACAACCTAATAGGAAAAAGATGTCAGCGTGTTGGATATTTCAGTGTTAGCAGCTCACATGACTTTTCCCAAGAATATTGTCATATTTTATTTTTGCCTCAAAGTCTGGGTAACAAATGGGAAAACCCTTGGACTGCTAGAAGAGAAATACAGTTGAGTCATTCTCATTCAGCTTGAGAGTCTAGAAAAGTATTTATGCACGAGCTTAACTTCAGGTTTGGGCACTACTGTCGGACTCCACTGTCTGTGGAGGTTAACCAGAGACTGAAAGGTCAGGAGACAAAGTTTTTTCTAGGTCAAGGCTGGATGTCCTTCTGTGTCCTTTCCATATGGTAGAAATTACATCTGTGAAGTCTGTTTGCTTATCCAGTCAACACTGTGACACTCAGAAAATACACTGGATATCGTACCATGATGAAATCCAGCACCATATAGTCCAAATTATTTTTAAGGTAACAATTTATTTTTCCTTGAAGAAACATTTGTGGAAAGGAGTTGATGAAGACCAATATCTACAAAATGTACAGCATTAATGAAAAGATGAGTTAATTAGAACTCATTTTAAACAGGAGCTTGTTTGTAGAAATGTTTTACCATGCTAAAATAAAGCTGTTTACCAAATATTCCAAGAACATACACACGTCAATTCAAATCTGGATGCACAAAGGAAAGGGAAAAAATATGTTGCTACAAAAGCAGTATGAAATTTTGCCTGTGCTTAACCTGAAAGCACTGCCTGGAAAAATACCAATATAGTATGCATTAATATTCAATTTTCTTTCATCTCTTTTCTGTTTCAAGTATGTTTTCTTGCAGTGTATTTTCCCTTCAGTGTTTCTTCTTTCAGTCTCATCAGAATTTTGGACTTTTGCAGATATGGAAAACTGAAGAATTATCATTATTATTAATCAAGCATTCCTTATGAGAATGATTTTCCAAATAAATGCAATTTTAGATAATAGAATATATAAATGAAATGTTATATCCTGGATTGGCGTGACTGAAAAAGAGTACATGCATTTCTCAGATAGTCCAAAACATTTTGAACTGATTTGACAAAATGCCAAGCTAGAGAAACATGCACGATGGGAGAGGCTCTCAAGCTCCCCATGAGAAAGCAGTATGATCAAGTGCCCATCTCAAACACTTGTACAAAAATGATCAAAGCCTGAGAAACAAACAGGAGGAACTGGGAGTCAGTTTAATGACATCAATCACCCAGGTATGATGGGAGAGCCAGAACAATAGGAGTGCTGCAGTGGATGCATACCGGCTCTTTTGGAAGGACAGGCAGGGAAGACAAGCCAAGGGTTACGCTCTGCACAGTGGGCACCTCGAATGCATGGAGCTTTGCTTCATAACAGGTGACTAGTCTGTTGAAAGCATGTAAGTCAGATTTAGAGAGAAGGCCAGCAAGGGGAATGCCATTCATTACAGACTGTCTTGTCAAGAAGTGGGACTGGATGTTAAGAGTTCTTTTAACAGCTCTAAGAAGCTCCATAATTGGAGACTAGCTACTTCAGCATCTCCTGGGAGAGCAGCACCATGAGGAGCAATCAATCCAGAAAGTGCTTCAGGGACAACTATATAATGCAGGTACTGGGTTTCCAGCTAGAGATGGTAGTCTCCTAGACCTGCTATTCACATATCCTCTGGTTGTGGGTATGAAACTCAACAGCAGCCTTGGCTGCAGTGACCATGACTGTCTTCTTGAGATGCCAGCATTCAAGATCCTGACGGGAGTGAGGAAGGCAAGCAGCAGGATAAAAGCCCTGGACTTCTGTACTTTGGCTTGCTCTGGGAACTGGTAGGCAGGATCCTATTTGGAGGCTGCTATGAAGTGCAAAGGGGCCCAGAAAGAGCTTCTTGGTCTTAAGGAACAATTTCCCTAAAGCATAAGAATTACCCATTGCAATGTGCAGGAAAATGAGCACATATGGCAGAAGGCCAGCTTGCCTGAACAGGGAACTGTTGACTGAGACCAAACGCCAAAAGAAAGCATGCAGGAAGGAGGTGAATACCAGGACAGGCTACCAAAGGGTAATACAGAAGCATTCCCCAGGCATGCAGGGATGAAGTGAGGAAGGCCAAAGTTCAGCTGGAGTTGAACTTGGCTAAATGCACGAAGGATGACTTGAAAGACAGTACAGGTAAGGCAGCAGTAAAAAAGACACTGAGGATAACATGAGCCCTCTGCTCAGGAGGAAGGCAACCTAGTGACAAAGGACACAGGAAAGGCTAAGGTATTTAGTGCTTTCTTTGCCTTGGTCTCTATGGGCAAGGTCTGTTCTCTGGACTCCCAGTTCTTCATGTCTGGTAGCAAAGACTCGGGGAGGACCTGTTACTCATGGTAGAGGACGACTGAGTTAGGGACTACTTCACCTGGATGTACACAGGTCCATGGCACTGGCCAGAAGGCATTCGAGGGTGCTGAGGGGGCTAGCTGCTGCTGTTGCAAGGCTGCCAAAGTCTAATCAGCAGCTGATAATGAGTGCCATTCCTCAGGAACCAGTCCTTCATCAGTGACAGGGAGGAAGAAGTGGAAGGATCCTCTGTGAGTCTGCAAGAAACCCCATGCTGGCAGGAGTGGTTGGTGTGCTGGAGGGCAGTGCTGCCAGTCAGGAGCTCGACAAGCTGCAGGAATGTGTTGACAGGAACATGATGAGTTCAGCCAGATGCTAAGTTCCTCACCTGCAATGCATTGATGAAGGCTGGCCAATGGCTGGCTAAAAAAACTCCTTTGCATAAAAGGACCCAGAGATTTTTGCCCCTCATACAAGAGAAGGAAACTGAAGTCCAGCTGAGGAAGATGGGTTTATTTAGTCTGGAGTAGAGTAAGGTAAGGGAGACCTAATTGCAGTCTTCCACTACCTACAAGTGGTTTGCAGAGAAGATTCAGCCTTCTCTTCTCAGAGACACACAGTGAAAGTACAAGAGGCAATGATCACAAGTTACAACAAGAAAAATTTCATTTTTTTCAGCCCTAAGGAAAAGGTCTTTCACAATGATAGTGGTGAACAGACCTATCAAAAAGAATGTGGAATCTCCATCCTTGGAGATTTTCAAAAGTCTACTGGACAAGACCCTGAGCAACCTGATCTAAATTTGAAGTCTGCCTGGTCTTAAGCAAGAGATTGGACTAGATGAGCTCTTTATGACCTTTTAACTTAAATTATTCTGTGGTACTTTAACTTCTCTTCATGCTGCATTACCTTGCAATAGTTGAAATTTTAGTTTCCAATATTTTTTATAAGAGTTGTCCTTGAAGGGTACATCTTCATAAGGGAAATACACCGACTGAACACACACCCCGCTCATGAGAGTTATAATTTTTTCAATGCATTGTAGGGGGAAGAACTCTAGCTATGGATTTTGGTCCCAGGGAAAACTGCAGGTATCGGACTCCCATAGTTGCCCAAAAGAACTACATAACGGATTTTGCATCATCATAAGGAAGTGTAAGTTACCGCTGTGATTGCTTTGAAAGGAAGCTTGTAAATTCAGTTTGGTTAGAACTCACTCCATTGTTCTGGTGACAGGAATGTCAAATGTTTAATTTCAATATTTAAATAAAATGTTTTGACTATTCCTCATGTGAGTTTTTCAGGATGTGCATCTCCTGAAAAACTTATGAAGGTCAAATTTCTTCCTTGCTTCAGGAGAAAAACGAATGTCAAAAGACAGAATTTCCTGCAAGACAGAAATGCCACACTTCTCTCAGCTGTACAACTGAATACTATTGAGCACCATTCCTCTCAAAAGCTCCAAATATACTGAACTACAATGCAAACAGTGTTACCACCATCCTTCCACAAACATTACTGAACTGTGATCCAAGAAATGTGGAATCACTAATGGCCATCTCTGCCTACTATGGTTTGTTTACTGCCTTCCCTCAATGGTTTTAATTAAGGTATTGCAAGCGTTCACACTTACAAACAAAAGGAAACAAGGAAATTGAGCCTCATGTTTTTTTCCCTCTGATCTAATATGAGGTTTGCATTTACAGAAGGCAAATTATGAAGAAGACATTATGATACCGTTCTTCACAGAGACCTTGCTAAAAATTAAGATTTTTTTTTTTCCCCAAAATGAACCTTTTTGACCAGAATGCAATAATTAGTCTACAAATGAGTGCGTACAGTTGTACTGGTTTTAGCTAGGATACAGTTAATTTTCTTCATAGCAGCTGGTAGGGTGCTATGTTTTGGATTTGTGCTGAAAACAGTGCTGATAACACTGGGATGTTTTTGTTACTGTTGAGCAGTGCTTACACAGAGTCAAGGCCTTTTCTGCTTCTCACCCCACCCCACCAGCGAGCAGGCTGAGGGATGACAAGAAGTTGGGAAGGGACACAGCCAGGACAGCTGACCCCAACTGACCAAAGGGATATTCCACACCATATGATGTCATGCTCAGCATATTAAAGCTGGCGGAAGGATTAGGAAGAGGGAGATGTTGGGAGTGATGGTGTTTGTCTTCCTAAGTCACTGTTACATGTGATGGAGCCCTGCTTTCCTGGAGATGGCTGAACAGCTGCCTGCTGATGGGAAGTAGTGAATGAATTCCCTGTTTTGCTTTGCTTGTGTGCACAGCTTTTGCTTTACCTATTAAACTGTCTTTGTCTCAACCCACGAGTTTTCTCACCTTTACCTTTCTGAGTCTCTCCCCCATCCCACTGGGGCAGGGTGAGGGAGTGGCTGGGTGCGGCTGAGCTGCCGACTGGGGTTAAAACACGGTAACGGTACACAAAAATGTCCAAGGATGATTTAGTCACCCGGCAAAGGGAGAGAGGATCCCCACCATCATCACCTCACAAGAAAAGGCAGCATTTGGTCAGGAATGACTTTCAAAACATCTTCTTTAACAAAATTACCTTTTTCTCCTGGAGGCCCAACTCTGCCTGGACGACCTGGAGCACCTTTCTCCCCCTTTTCTCCAGCCTCCCCTGTTGATACAAAGGGAAACAAAAAGAAGAGTCATATTAAACCAGGACTATTTCCTGTTGGTGGCAGTGACAAGAGTGCCATTCTCCCCAGTGAAAATAAAAGCCTACTATAACAAGAGGGGAAAAAAGTAAAAGCAGATAGAATCTGACTTAACAGCTCTACTTGACACATAGAGAACAGAGTTTCCTGCAATTGGCATAGACACTGACAAAACCAAAGTCAATACGTTACTCAAGTCTCATACAATAGGTCTAGTTTTGTGCATGTTACTCATATCATCAACCTCCAAAAAGCCCAACAGCGCAATTCACTTAAGTAGAAGCTTCAGAATTAGGCCCCAACTTAGCAAATAACCTTCTAGGTCTGTGTTCACCAAACACTTCCTGAGTATCTGTTAAGGACATGCTTAAGTCCCAAGTGAAAATGGCTTCACTATAACCTCAAACTAAAAAAAAAAAAAAAAAAAAAAAAAAAAAGTTTTTGCCATTTAAAGAG